ACACACAGCGCCTTCACGACATGGCGGCGGCAACAACAATACTACAACGAGAATAAAAGTTATGCCTTCTTTCTTTGCGTGAACATTTGGGCGGCGTTATGCAAATCTTCCCACATAGTGATGTAGATATGTGGGGGCGTGTTAGAACGAGCCGTTTTAGGTAGGCGTGGCTGACTCTTAACTTTTATAAAGAATATCTCTTTGGATTTGAGACTTTAGTCTTTGCAAATTTACAGATCTTCTTTATGCACCAAGAGCTTGTAACACTCCAAAGAGAAAGGAAAAATTGAATCATATGACCCCTTTAATTCTGCTACAGTTACAACTGGCAACTGATATAACTAATTGTAATTAATCAATTAATTGTAATTATTTATATACATTTCTCTTTTGAGCTAATTTGCTACACTGCATTACAGTAATCCAGCCGAGTGGTAACAAAGGCGTGGATTACTGTCTCAAAGTGTTGCCTCATAGAACTTAAATGTGGAGTGTTCGCATAATGGTGCTGTGATAAAGATATTGACCCGGCGAGCTGTCCCGTATCGGATGTTCCATGTTTTCAGGAGCACAGACTAGATAACGGGACCCTACTATCAACGTTAAAGGTTTATGTGGCCGCTTTTGCTTCGATTTGTTCCCCAGTTAGCGGGCAATCGATCGGGAAGCATGCCCTGGTGGTCAAATTTCTCAGGGAAGCGAGGAGACTACATCTCCCACGGCCACCTTCAGTGCCGGTGTGGGACCTAACACTGGTTCTAAAAGCTCTCTCTCTTCCCCCGTTTGAGCCCTTGGAATTTGTTGTTATGAGGGAGCTCCCCCTCAAAGCTGCTCTGCTTCTTGCCCTTGCCTCGGCTAAGTGCATGGGAGATTTGCACGCGCTCTTAGTGGATGATGATTGTATTTGCTTTGGGCCTAAGGATTGCAGTGTTACTCTCCAGCCCAGACCAGGCTACATGCCTAAATTTCTTTCTACCCCTCTAAGGCGCAGGTCATTTCTTTGCCCGCTTTGTCTGCTGAGCCGTCGACCTCGCATGACGCCGAGGCTCAGAGCGCTTTTTGCCCTGTCAGGGCTTTAAGGATTTGAATCGACCTCTCAGCCGTTTTTCATCAGTCTGAGCAGCTCTTTGTGAGCTACGATGGATGTGCTAGGGACGAGCAGTATCTGAGCAGAGGCTTTCTCACTGGATAGTGGTCACTATCTGCTTATTCAATTCAAGTTTATTTGTATAGCGCTGTTGTGAATTTGACTCATTTGTTTCTAATTTTTCTTATTTTTTCTTTGTACTACATCTCCCACAATTCCTAGTAAACTGCATTTCCATATATGGTGCACTACATTACCCATATTCCCCTGGTTAAGGTCTATAAATAGACCTTACTTCCTTCCTTTGTCCCTTTTGCATTGGTGAGGTGTGGGTGTTTGAATGGACACCCAAGCATGTTCTTTGAGTCCTTTCCTTAGGATGCGTTAATGACTTAAAATCATCCTGTTTATCCTATGCATCCTGTTCATCATGTCCAACCTAGTAGTCCTGCTCCACGTGACTGTGAACTTCATGTCATGTGAATTGCTAAAGATTTATGCTTCTTCAATCGAATGGAATAAAAGAGAGCAAAGAACTGGTGTTTTTCCAGTGTTTTAATCAGACACGCCACCAAGTTTCTACAATTTAATGAACTTTGGATATTTTAACATCTCATATTCAACATATGGTCCTTCGAGCCGGAGGTTAGAAATTTGGTGGAATGGATTACTATGCAAGACCTGCAGTCCGGCGTAGTGGAAGAATGAGAAGACCTCCTGCCCGTTTTGTAGACCGTATGGTACGAGAATGTGCTCATCCTCCACCTCCTTCCTCACCAACCTTAGTCGTAAGTGATCATCAACAAATAGACAATGGAAATCCATGTGCCTTAAGACATGCTCCTTGCTCATCTGCTCAAGGTAAACAGTCTCAGCATGACTTGCTCAATATGGATGTTAAACAAGAAATACTTGGACTTAAGGGTATGCTTGGTGAGATTATGTCTAGAATGTCACAGTTAGCAGCTTCTTCTAAACATTCTGATTTATCTGAGTCTTTTGATGATGATCATTCTGATGATGATGATGATAATGCTGTTGTTAAACCACCTATTGTTCAAGAATTGTGTGCATGCATTAAGAAAGCTGAACAGAAATCAACATGTAAGCAAGGTAATTCATGAGCTGTTCAATCACCACTTCCATTGAGTAGGCCTAGTTCTCTGCCTCCCCCACCGTCTTCATTGTTACGTAGTCCACCTCAACATACACATACCCATGGTACATCACAACTACAATCAGGTACTATGACCCAATCTTTTGTAGTTCCAGTAGTTCCTGACCCCGTTAATACCCATTCCCCTCAAATGCAAGCATCACAGGTGTTGGTGCAACCAGCTGGTTCACTTCAGCCAGGTGCTTATTTACCAAGTAACTCTTTCTCCTCATCTTTGGTTCATACTCAGTTGCCCTCACAGATTACATCAGCACAGTTACCTTTGCAGCCTCAACCGATTCCCTATGTATCCTCAGCCAATGTAGGTTACCATACGCAGCCACATTCTGTAGGTCACTCAGGGGATCTTGTTGTACAACAACCTATTCCATTCGTTCAATCAATTGTTCCCACTACCCAGGCAACTGCAATTCCATTTCTTCATTCTCACCCATATTCCCAGCCATATTATGGTTCACAATATGCCATTTCCTATCCTATTTCTCGTGTTCAGGGACCTTCCTTTCCTTTTTTGGCGAATGATGATCCTCAAGAATTTACAATGTTGCAGTTAGCGCTGACAAATCTGTTGTCACCTCATGAGTCAGAACATTACAAATACCATATTTTGTTGGATCATTTAAAATTTTCTCCTGCTCGTAATCTAGCCCTAGCTTATGCTAATGATCCTAGACCATATAGTATGGCTCTTTTTGCACTACAACAGAAATATGGCCAACCCCATCAGCTAGTTTTAAGGGAAATCAAAGCCATTCTAGCTCTTCCCAAGGTGAGACCAGGTGACAGCAGAGCATTTAGTAGTTTCGCACTGAAAGTTCGAGCTTTGGTTGGCATGCTCCAATCTTTGGGCCACGATCAAGCTAAATCTGAACTAGCCTGTGCTTCTCATGTACAGCAACTGCTTAGTAAGTTACCCACAGAACATGTGACCAACTTTGCCCGTTATGCCCGTGCTGTCCTAAATGGTCAAAGCTACAACCTGGTTAACTTTTCTGCCTGGCTCCAAGAAGAGGCTGAATGTCAAGCGATGGCTGATCAAGTTAGTGATCTTCCAAAACCACTCCTGAGTAAACCTCAATCAAAGATCTACTCTAACACTCGAACAGTCTTGTACGGAGCTAATGGTACTTCTGTTGTATCAAGATCCATGAATAAGCAACCCCAGAATCTGAGAGATCAAGAGCAGAGTTCCAAATATTCGTGTGCATATTGTTCCAGTAGACAGCACTTCATTAGCTTGTGTCCTTCTTTCAGAGCTTTAGAAGACAACAAAAAGGATGAGTGGATTAGAGAGAACAAAATATGTTGGAGATGTGGGCTCAACCATCTAGCTGTTGACTGTGACTTGAAAAAACCCTGTCCACATTGTAAAGGTCGACATCTTGGTATCCTTCATGGAGTCAACCGTCGTGAGCAGGATAATGGTACATTCTATCTTAGTCGACTTGGAGTTTCTGGTAAGGTACTCCTGAAAGTTGTTGAAGTACTTCTCCATCATGAAGGTCGATCCCTGCAAATGTATGCCATCCTTGATGATGGATCAGAACGTACTATGTTGCTATCTCAAGCATCTGATTATCTAGGTCTCAAGGGGGAAGCCGAGTCCCTGATTGTTAGGACCGTACGCCATGATACTATTGCGCTTGGAGGCTCCTCTGTAACCTTTGAAATATCCTCAACTGCCAATCCAGAAAGGAAGTATACCATTTCCCAGGCTTTTTCTACTGCCAGATTGGGACTGGCAGAACAGACATACCCTGTTGAGACTTTAAAGAGATGTTTCAGACATCTTCAAGATTTACCTCTTCCAGAATTCTCTAACGTTCAACCATTTATCCTTATTGGAGCAGACTATCCACACCTGATAAACCCAATTGACCAGGTATATTTCGGACCTCCTAAATCTCCAGCCGCAATCCAGAATAAGTTAGGTTGGGTACTTCAAGGCCCAATTCCAATTCCTAACACTGATGAGATGCAGTGTCTTTTCACCATGACTAATCCACTCGAGGATCTTCGCCATGATGTAGAGAAATTATGGCAATTAGAGATTCTCCCCTTCAGAAATGAGAAAGTCATTACTAGGTCCAAGCAGGACCAAGAAGCTATGGACGTGTTAGCCTCCAAGACCAAAAGAGTCTACGTTGATGGTGTGCAAAGATATGCCACTCCTTTATTGCGTGCTGCTTCTGCTGTTCAGTTGCGAGCCTCACCAAATGCAGTTATGTCCTCCCTCAGAGGTATTGAGCGTCGCATCCAAAGAAATCCTGAATCTGCTGCTGTCTATGACCAAGAAATTGCCAAGTTAGAGAAGGCTGGTTATATTTCCAAAGTGGAACCTCCTCATGATTCATCCAAGGAATCATGGTATATCCCTCATCATCTTGTTGAGCATAACGGGAAACCTCGAATAGTCTTCAATTGTTCCCATCAATGTAAAGGTATGTCACTGAACAACCAGCTCCTTCCTGGTCCACAATTAGGCCCCTCCTTACTTGGTGTCTTACTCCGATTTCGCCAGTATCCAGTAGCCATTAGTGGTGACATAAAATCTATGTTTCACCAAATTAGGCTACTACCAGAAGATCGTCCTCTCTTACGCTTCCTGTGGCACAACCTGCAGAGATCAAATCCACCTTATGTCTACGAATGGCAAGTTTTGCCATTTGGTACAGTATGTAGTCCATGTTGCGCAACATATGCTTTACAAAGGCATGTCCATGACTACCAAGAAGGATATGAAGATATAGTGAATTCTGTACTTCAGTCGTTCTATGTGGATAATTGTTTAGAGAGTTTTCCACACGTGCAAGTCGCAAAGAACCACCTTGACCGCATGCGTTCCTTACTGGTGAGTGGGGGATTTGAAATCAGACAGTGGGCAAGTAACCAGCCTGATGTTGTGAGACATCTTCCTTCTGAAGCCAGGTCTGAGAGTGCAGAACTTTGGATCAGTCAAGACCATTTGGATCCAAAAGAAGGAGCTTTTGGTCTGAGTTGGCACTGTCCCTCCGATTCATTGGGGTATCGATCTCAAACTGTGGAGTATAACGCAACAACTATGCGCAATATCTATAAAGTTCTCGCTAGTCAATATGACCCGTTGGGTTATATTACTCCCTTTACAACGCGAGCTAAGGTCATTGTACAGCAATGCTGGATGAAGTCTCGGGGTTGGGATGATCACCTTATGCCAAATCCTATCCAACGGGCCTGGAAGGCTTGGGAAACTGAGCTACCTGATCTGTCATTGATACAGCTTCCCCGCTGTTACTTAACTTTGCCTTCCGAGCAAATTGTATCCAGAGAGTTGCATGTTTTTTGCGATGCTTCAGAGAGCGCATATGGGTCAGTAGCGTATTTGCGAATGGAAACTGACAAGGGCGTGGTACATACTTCTTTCATCATGGCAAGATCTCGAGTTGCCCCAAAAAGGCAAATTTCCATCCCTCGCCTTGAACTTTGCGCTGCTCTAACAGGTGCACAGCTCTCCAAACTCTTGCAAAGGGAATTGACTATTCCCTTGACAGATACTCTCTTATGGTCTGACTCAACAACTGTTTTGTCTTGGCTGCATTCTCTCTCCTGCCGTTATAAAGTTTTCATAGCCAATCGAGTCACTGAAATCTTGGAACTCACTGATCTCTGTTCTTGGAGACATATTCCTTCTGCACAGAATCCAGCAGATGACATTACTAGAGGCAGAACACTTGTTGAGCTGGCCAAACCTGACCATAGATGGAGACAAGGTCCATCGTTTTTTAAATTTCCTCCACATCAGTGGCCTCACAATCTAGTGTGCAGATCTGCTAGTCCTGATCCTGAGCTCCGAAAACCACTTTTTTGTGGGTTAACACAATTGGAAGATCTTGTACTCCCAGACACCTTCCAATTTCCAGTCATGGTCAGCGTTAAAGTCTGCCACAACAGAGTTATTGTGACAACATAGTCCGGACGCTTGTGACCCCTCAGTCATTCAAACCCTTCTTTTAAGACAAGCCCAGCAACAAAGCTTCCCCCCTGAGTACCAGTGTTTAAAGGAAGGAAAACCTATTGAATCTCAAAGTCGTCTCCTTACACTTTCTCCTGAATTCAGAGAAGAAACGGGACTTATTGTAGTGGGCGGCAGGCTCAGACGAGTAGAGGACATGGCACCCGAAATGGTTCATCCAGTCATCCTTGACCCCAAGCATCCATTATCTAGCTTAGTCATCAAGGACTGTGACGAGACAATTATATTCCTTCTTAGAGAAAAATGGTATCTGTGAGGATTTCCAGTCAGGATTTAGACCGTATCATAGTACCGAGACTGCTCTCATTAGAGTTACAAATGACCTGCTCTTATCATCTGATTGTGGTTGTATCTCTCTATTAGTGCTATTGGATCTTAGCGCTGCATTTGACACGATTGACCACAACATTCTTTTGCATAGACTAGAAAACTTAGTTGGCATTAATGGAAGTGCATTAGCATGGTTAAAATCGTACTTATCTGACCGCCATCAATTCGTAGCAGTAAATGAAGAGGTATCATATCGATCACAAGTGCAGTAAGGAGTACCTCAAGGCTCAGTACTAGGGCCATTACTCTTCACACTTTACATGTTACCCTTGGGAGATATCATCAGGAAACACGGTGTTAGCTTTCACTGTTATGCTGATGATACTCAGCTCTATATTTCTTCGCAGCCCGGCGAAACATACCAATTTGAAAAAACTAGCGGAATGCATAGTCGATATAAAAAACTGGATGAGTAATTTCTTACTGCTAAATTCTGAAAAAACAGAGGTGTTAATTATAGGACCTAAAAACTCTGCATATAATAACCTAGAACACTCCCTAAGACTTGATGGCTGCTCTGTCAATTCTTCGTCATCAGTTAGGAACCTAGGTGTGCTATTTGATAGCAATCTTTCGTTAGAAAGCCACGTTTCTAGCATTTGTAAAACTGCATTTTTCCATCTCAAAAATATATCTAAATTACGACCTATTCTCTCAATGTCAAATGCAGAAATGTTAATCCATGCGTTTATGACCTCAAGGTTAGATTATTGTAATGCTTTATTGGGTGGTTGTTCTGCACGCTTAATAAACAAACTCCAGCTGGTCCAAAATGCAGCAGCTAGAGTTCTTACTAGAACCAGGAAGTATGACCATATTAGCCCGGTTCTGTCAACACTGCACTGGCTACCTATTAAACATCGTATAGATTTTAAAATCTTGCTAATTACTTATAAAGCCCTGAATGGTTTAGCACCTCAGTATTTGAACGAGCTCTTGTTACATTATAGTCCTCCACGTCCGCTGCGTTCTCAAAACTCTGGCAATTTGATAATACCTAGAATATCAAAATCAACTGCGGGCGGCAGATCCTTTTCCTATTTAGCGCCCAAACTCTGGATTTTTGCCACGGGATGTCACTAGGATTTACACCAGCTTCAGTCTGGATCCAGAACACCTGAGAAGAGATGATGCCAACCCCTCAGAGGACCTCAGATGATGCCAACCCTGAAACAACATACAGAACTACCATATTTTGCTATAAGTTTGATTGCATCATATAATAATTGCTGTTAATAGTGTTCATCGTCTGTTTTATTACGTCTTAAATTGATTTTTCCGTACATTTCTGCCATATGTACATTAATTGACAGTCACCACTGATAAGCTACCACTAAATATTGTAGAAACTTAATTTGCTGTAAAGTTGCTTTGCAATGATTTGTATGGTGAAAAGCGCTGTACAAATAAACTTGATTTGACTATTTAGCGCCCAAACTCTGGAATAACCTACCTAACATTGTTCGGGAGGCAGACACACTCTGTCAGTTTAAATCTAGATTAAAGACCCATCTCTTCAACCTGGCTTACACATAACACACTAATACGCTTCTAATATTCAAATCCGTTAAAGGATTTTTAGGCTGCATTAATTAGGTCAACCGGAACCGGGAACACTTCTCATAACACCCGATGTACTTGCTACATCGTTAGAAGAATGGCATCTACGCTAATATTAGTCTGTTTCTCTCTTATTCCGAGGTCACCGTTGCCACCAGATCCAGTCTGTATCCAGATCAGATGGTCACTGCAGTCACCCGGATCCAGTACATATTCAGACCAGATGGTGGATCAGCACCTAGAAAGGACCTCTACAGCCCTGAAAGACAGCGGAGACCAGGACAACTAGATGAGCCCCAGATACAGATGTTATTCCCCTGTAAAGACCTTGTCTCAGATGACCACCGGGACAAGACCACAGGAACCAGATGATTCCTCTGCACAATGTGACTTTGCTAGCCTGAAATTGAACTGCTGGTTTTGTCTGGCCAGAGGAGAACTGGCCCCCCGACTGAGCCTGGTTTCTCGCAAGGTTTTTTCTCCATTCTGTCACCGATGGAGTTTTGGTTCCTTGCCGCTGTCGCCTCTGGCTTTCTTAGTTGGGTACACTTCATTTCCAGCGATATCGTTGATTTGATTGCAAATGATTGCAAAGATACTATTTAGACTGAACTGAGCTGGATGATGACATCGCTGAATTCAATGATGAACTGCCTTTAACTGAAAAATTAGTGTTGACTATTGTCATTTTGCATTATTGACACACTATTTTCCTAATTAATGCTGTTCAGTTGCTTTGACACAATCTGTATTGTTAAAAGCGCTATATAAATAAAGGTGACTTGACGAGAAACTTTTCCATCCTGGTCCAGAGAGAATTTTTCCAGAACTTCGCCGTAATTATTGGATAATTAGAGGGAGACAAGCCGTAAAAAAAACATCAGTTGTCTTGTTTGGAATGTAGGAAGTGGAAAGCTAAGCCATCTATCCCTCAAATGTCAGATCTTCCACTCTCTAAGCTCCAGTTGTTCAAACCTCCCTTTTGGTCCACTGGGATGGATTGTTTTGGCCCTTTCCATGTCAAGATTGGTCGTAGAAAGGAAAAGAGATGGGGCATTCTGTTTAAGTGCCAGACTACTCGATGTCTGCATCTTGATTTGTTAACCAGTTTAGATGTGGACAGCTTCCTAATGGCCCTACGCCGTTTTATATCCAGGAGAGGTCAGCCGTATGAAATCCTTTGTGACCAAGGAAGTAATTTCCGTGGAGCTGCAAGAGAATTGAAGGAAGCTTTCCAGAACCTTACCACTGAGTTACAAGTTAAACTGGAAAATCAGCAGATCAAATTCAAATTTAATCCTCCCCAAACTCCTCATTTTGGAGGCTCATGGGAATGAGAGATTCGCTCTGTTAAGGCAGCTCTGCATGTGGTACTTGGCAGCCAAACAGTATCAGAAGAAGTTCTACGGACAGTTCTGACAGAAGTTGAAGGAGTGTTAAATTCTAAGTCACTTGGTTACGCCACTTCTAACATTGCAGACCTCGATCCCATCACCCCAAATCTCCTCCTCATGGGGCGGCGAGATTCTTCTCTACCCCAGTTTATTTATGCTAACACCGAGCTACTTGGCCGTAGATCTTGGCGCCATAGTCAGGTCCTCGTTGACCAGTTTTGGGCATCCTTTATTCGACATTATTTGCCAGGTCAGCAGCTCCGTCAAAAATGGAATAGAGAAAATCCTAATCTAAATGACTCTTCTGTTGTGTTAGTTATCGATTCTCAACTTCCAAGAGCATCATGGCCCATTGGTAGGGTAGTACGTCTTTTACCTAGTCAGGATGGACGTGTGAGAGTAGCTGAGATTGCTATTAATGGAAAAACTTACGTACGCCCAGTTGCTAAGTTGATTCCGTTATTCCAAATTGATGAATAATAGCAAATACATGACTGTATTTGGAGGCGGCTGTTGTGAATTTGACTCATTTGTTTCTAATTTTTCTTATTTTTTCTTTGTACTACATCTCCCACAATTCCTAGTAAACTGCATTTCCATATATGGTGCACTACATTACCCATATTCCCCTGGTTAAGGTCTATAAATAGACCTTACTTCCTTCCTTTGTCCCTTTTGCATTGGTGAGGTGTGGGTGTTTGAATGGACACCCAACCATGTTCTTTGAGTCCTTCCCTTAGGATGCTTTAAGTAAGTCTGCTTGCCAATTGTATAGTTTGAATTTGTTTATTTGAATTATTTAGATATGTAATCCCTATTTGGATTGAGTACACTATTGATGTTTATTGATGAATTGATTGTACGAGTTTGATTTAGTTTTTTGTATTGTTTGTGGTGACTTAACCATCCGGTTTGTCCTGTGCATCCTGTTCATCATGTCCATCCTAGTAGTCCTGCTCCATGTGAATTTGTGAACTTTATGTAATGTGAATTGTTAAAGATTTATGCTTCTTCAATTCAATGGAATAAAAGAAAGCAAAGGACTGGTGTTTTTTCCAGTGTTCCACCAAGTTTCTACAATTTGAATTAACTTGGGATATTTTAACATCTCATATCCAACAATAATTACATTGCATAAGTATTTATACCCTTAACACACTACTTTGTTGAAGCACCTTTGTCAGTGATTACAGGCTCAAGTCTTTTTCGGTATGATTCAACAAACTTTGCATATCTGAATTTGCCATTTTTTCTCTGCATATTTCTGTCAGATTTGATGGGGACCGTTGATGGCCAGCCATTTTCAGGTTTCTCCAGAGAAGATTGATCAGGTCTGAGCTCTGGCTGGGCCACTCAAGGACATTTACGGAGTTGTTTATAAGCCACTCTTGCATTCTCTTAACTGTGTACTTAGGGTCATTGTTCTGTTGGAAGGTGAAACTTCTACCCAGTCTGAGGTTCTGAGTGCTCTGAGGAGAGGCTGGAGTCTGGCCATTCTGCCATAAAGCCCAGATTGGTGGAGTGTTGCTGTGATGTTTGTCCTTCTGTAAGTTTCTCCCATCTGATGATCATGGAGCTCCCACGATCATAGAGCTTAACTAGAGTGACCATCAACTTCTTGATCACCACTTTAACCAAGGCTTCTCTTTCAATTGCTCACTTTGGCCAGCAAGCCTGCTCTTGGAAGAGGTTGTTCCAAACCTCTACCATTAAGGATTATGGAGGCCACATGCTCCTCCCTTACTGCAGCAGAATTTTTTGTAGTCTTCCCCAGATCTGTTTCTAAAGACAATTCCCCTCTCAGCTCTGCAGGCCGTTTCTTTGAGCTCATGGCTTTGTTTTTGCTCCGATATGCATTTTCAGCTGTTAGACCTTATATACCAGGTGTGTGCCTTTCCATATGTTCAATCCGTTGAATTTTCCACAGGCTAACTCCAGTCAAAAGTGTAGAAACATCTCAAAGATAATCCACCAAAACTGCAATGCTCCTGAGCTAAATATCAAGTGTCCTATAGGGTATGAATACTTATGCAATGTAATTTCATTTTTTTAAATTTGAAATTAGCAAAATTATCACAAAGCTGTGATTTTTCGGTGTCATGTGTATGAAGTGTAGATTGATGTGGAAAAAATAATTTAAAGGGGTTTTTAAGACACTGTGATTGTTTCTTTATTTACACTCCGACGAAGTGTTGTATAAATGCAATATCAGACTCGTAGCAATGTGTTATCGCTCTATATCAGCATGGCTGTGTTTACCTATGGCTGATAAGTGCATGGCTACAAGTGTGATATTGCTCTCGTTGAATGTTCGATAACATATCTCATAAGAATTTACCCCCCCCCCCC